ATACTTAATGCATGGCAAATCTAAAAGGTCATGTAAATGCTCAAAACTTTTACTGTGATAACAACGATATTTGCCATGAATGCCTACAGGATTTGGAGATTCCTGCCTTGAAAGAGCGTTTAAGCAGGCACCCAAATCGCGATACCTGCCCTGAGAGGGAAAGGAAGAGAAAAGCAGAGAACAAGTACCTGATTGTTTCTCACTACTTTCCCGCTGCGCAGAAGGGGACAACGAGGGCGAAACCTCCCGAAAGCCAGCGGCTCTCAGACGCTTAGTTGGAGAAGGGCGGGTGGAAACAACGTCGTCGCTATGGAAACTGTGGAGGCCCCAGCCGGTGGGGCGGGGTGAAGGTTGCCTGGAGAGGCAGTTGCTGAGCTGCGAAGGATTAGGATTACCTGTCACAACAGTAATTCATTACTCAAGTAAATAGTGTGTGAGTTTTTTTGTTTTTTGTTTTTAACTTAACTGCCTTTCCTTGGAAGGAGACCAGGAAATCAGGATCTTCAAATTGTGGAAAACTGCAAGACTGGAAATATAGACCTGTTGGAAAATAGATTTATGGAAACACTCAGCAAGAGAATCAAGTCTTCAAGTGTCCCCTAGTGACATCCTGTAAATATTGTAACTAATCAGCAACATAATTTATCTTGCTTCTAGATTTGCTATTTGTTGACACAGCACTTCCAGGAATTCTTTCGCAAAATCAAACAGGTTAAGGTGTGTGAATTTAGTGAGTTCGCTGGGAGAAAGATGTGAAATTTTGCTATTTGAAGCTGCACAACTAAACGATAATAGCCTACAAGAATACTGTGTCAAAATTAAATTAGGGAAGTGAATAAACCCTGGTCTGTTAATAGCATACTCATTCTTAGATCTCATGAGACTTAAAAAAATAGCATATTCATTCAACAAATATTTGAGCACCCTCTCTGTGACATAATTTTTTGTTGCTTTAATGAAAGTACAGGCAACACTTGTGTCGGTCTCACAGTAGGTGCTCTAAAATGTCATTTAAGTAAGCGAATGAACAAGTTAAAATTTCTGGGTAGTTTGTAAAAGCAAACTATCTTTCTGTAGAAAATAAAATACTTGTATAAATATGTGAGCTTTTGTTGTTTAAACTCTAATCCTATAACAGATTAGTTTTTTAAAATGTCAATTTATTAGCGTGTATTTTTTATAGGCAGGGTCTCGCTCTGACACCCAGGCTGGAGTGCAGCGGCACCATCATAGTGAAAGGAGTCAGCTAGCTTTTGCCTTAGGTAGATAGCAAGGGAAGGGTCCCCGGAGAAACCCCGGCCCATGGGTCAGTGCCTCATCCCCACATAACATAAAAAGCAGCCTAGGGAAAAAAATTCAAGCTGCAGGCACTGATAAGGGAACTAGCACATGGTGTTGTGCCTGGAGACATGCCCGCGACTGCGAAGATAGAAAAACCTCCAGCCCATTTAGACAAAAACTTGCACCAACCTTCTCACTCACATAAAGGAACAAGGCCTGGCACAGAAATGCCTTTGTCCTTTGTATAGCCCATGGGGTCCCAGGAAAAAAAAAAAGTTTCTTCTCCTTTTGTGGGCGTGGGCACAGTACGGTCCAGTAGGTTCCGGTGGGCGCTCTACTTTCCTTTATTTGGATTGTCAATTGGGCTTCTATGAATCATTGCTTCAGCTGCTGATTGGTCCTGGGCCAAGCTCCAGGGCCCAGCTTTCACTTTAGCTCTTGACAGGTCCTGGGCCAAGCTAAGCAGCATCTATGAAGCATCATTTCAGCTCCTGATTAGTCCTGGGCTAAGGCCCCTGGGAAGGGGAGTGGGAGGCATGAAGCACATTTCTTTCCCTTCCCAGTTCATAAAAACCCTGGACCCCAGCCTCACAGGGAGCACCCCATTCAGGCGCCCCTCTCTGCTGGCAGAGAGTTTTCTTCTTTCACTATTAAACTTTTGCTCTAAACTCACCTTGGGGTCTGCCCTACTTACTTGTCTTGGAGGTAGGACAAAGAATCCCAGTTGTTATCTCAGACAACCAGAAACTGTTTTTCTTTGAGATGGAGTCTCGCTCTGTCACCCAGGCTGCAGTGCAGTGGCCTGATGTCGGCTCACTGCAACCTCCGCCTCCCGGGTTCAAGCGATTCTCCTAACTCAGCCACCCAAGTAGCTGGGATTACAGGCGCATGCCACCAGGCCCAGCTAATTTTTGTATTTTTAGTAGAGATGGGGTTTCACCATGTTGGTCAGGCTGGTCTCAAACTCTTGACCTCTTGATCCACCTGCCTCATCCTCCCAAAGTGCTAGGATTACAGGCATGAGCCACCATGCCAGGCCTGAGAAACTGCTACATCTTGCATTGCTGAGACTACTGCAATAGCTCACTGCATCCTCAAACTCCTGGGCTCAAGGGATCCTCCCACCTCGGCCTCCTGAGTAGCTGGGACTACAGGCACACACCGAGACGTTGGCTAATTTTTAAAAATATTTTGTTGGGACAGTGTCTCACTATGTTGCCCAAGCTTGTCTCAAACTCCCAGGCTCAAGCAATCCTCCTGCTTCAGCTTCCTAAGAGTGTTGGGATTACAGGCTGAGTCACTATATCTGGCCTGAATATCAATTTGGTTAGGCTAAACTAGAAGGACTAAAGAGAAGGCAGCAATCTTATGTATGACATACCCACCTCCTCCCAGTCATTCAATCAAACACTTATCTAGGGCTGCTGTGAAGAGATTACAGATATAATTCAAGTCCCTGGAGGCCAACTGGCATTGGTCTAAGGAGATTATCCTGGGTGAGCCTGACTCAATCAGTAGAAATCCTTTTAAAAAGATTTAGGCGTGACAAAGTGGATCAAACCTGTAATCCCAGCAGGTTAGCAGGCCAAGCCAGGCAGCTTGCTTGAGTCCAGGAGTTTGAGACCAGCCTGGGCAACATGGTGTAACTCCATCTCTATTTTTAAAAATTAAAAATTAAAAAAATAATAAAAAGATAGGCATGCCCTGAGTCAAACTCCAAAATGCAGCTGGATCTGCAACTGCTCTCAATTTTCTAGTTCTTCCCTTCCTGACAGCCTGCCCTACAGACCTTGGACTTGCTTAACCAGCCCCTTCCATTGCATAAGCCAATTCTTTGTATATTAAAAAAAAAAAATATATATATATATATGTACACACACACATATATCTATATATGGATATAGATGATATATATTATCTCTTACTGGTTCTGCTTCCCACTTTGAAATCTGACTGATACAATGTACATCTTTTTTTTTTCACTTTTAAAAATAATTTTATTTTGAAGACAAAGTCTCACTATGTTGGCCAGGTTGGCCTGGCCTCAAGCAATCCTCCTGCCTTGGCCTCTAGATGTGCTAGGATTACAGGAGTGAGCCACCACACCTTGCCAATGTACATCTTTTTAATAGCCAATGTTTCCAAAAGTGTGTTCTTTTACAAGAACAGATTCCTCTTGAGCTTATACAAATAAATATATTGTCATAAAATAAGAATACTCATCAATAGTTTCCTAATTCTGGAGATATCAGGTAGAGAAAAAGGTAAATATTTCAATTTTACTCACAAAATATACCAAAAAGTTACCAAATTGCTGTAAAACTACAGATAATGCAGAGAAAAAAAGTTTTCTTAACTCTGAAAGAAAAAGAATTAAAATGTCAGCAACCTTTCAAGCAAAAAAGTCATTAAAATCATTTCTGTCCTCATCAGTTCAGTCCCATGTAATTAATTTTTTTTCTACTTGATAAATTAGCCATTTTAAGTCCAGTTTTCACCATTGCAGTCCAGCCTGGTTTTCATTTGCATTTTTTTTTTTTTTTTGAGACGGAGTTTTGCTCTTGTTACCCAGGCTGGAGTGCAATGGCGCGATCTCGGCTCATCGCAACCTCCGCCTCCTGGGTTCAGGCAATTCTCCTGCCTCAGCCTCCTGAGTAGCTGGGATTACAGGCATGCGCCACCATGCCCAGCTGATCATTGCAGTTTTTAAAGTTCTTATCCAGTCCAACTGAATAATCAACAGAGGCCTGTATTCCAGAGTATGTAACAGAGACTTTTTATGCTTTTCATAAACCTCTTTATCCTTTTCATAAACCTCTTTGAAGACACAATGCTTTAGGATTATATTTGCTTGCAAAGATCATTTAGAAGAAACATCAGAATAAAGCAATTTACTATGAAGAACAAGATTTAGAATGGCTGTGGTGAAAGACCTGGTAAAAGTTTACAACAATAATGCAATTGACAAGGAAGTTTGCTTTTTTCTATAATCTATAACAGTTTTACATAGTAGCCATAATTATGACTGATAACATATACAAAGACACATCAGATTTTTAGGAATCTCACATACTTTTTAAACACATATTAATAACATGTTCATATAAATGTAATGCAAAGAAGGCTTTCCGTATAATTTATGTATCAAATAAGCCTAATATGTCTTTCTTAAACTTCCAGGGCCATTCTGGGATAACCTAAGATTAGTTTGAGGCCAAAGAGACTTAATTTAGAATTTGAAATTTGATTTGGGAAGCCTGTCAAATATGTCAAAGGATAAAAACACTCAATTAAAATAGAAAAGGCCAGGCTCAGTGGCTCAAACCTATAATCCCAGCACTTTGGAAGTCCAAGGTGAAAGATCACTTGAGCCCTGGAGTTTGTGAACAGCCTGGGCAACACAGGAAGATGCTGTCTCTACAAAATATTTTTTAAAACTTAGCCAGGCATTGGTTGTGTGTGCTTGTGGTCCCAGATACTTGGGACACTGAGGTGGGAGGATTGCTTGAGCCCAGGAGGTCAAGGCTGCAGTGAGCTATGACTGCACCACTGCACTCCAGCCTGGGTGACAGAGTGAGACACTGTCTCAAAAAAAATTTTTTTAATGAAAACAAACTAGGAAAGTTTTAAAACATTTTATCAAAATAAGATGACAGGTCACTGTAAAATATCAGTCATTCATTTAGCCAAAGTGATAATTTAAAAAATTTTACAAAGCAATGCTCATTTCAGCAGTACAAATACTAAAGCTGAAATGATACGGAGATTAGCATGGCGCCTGCACAAGAATGACACACAAATTTGTGAAGCATTCCATAGTTTTTTTTTAAAAGATTTTATAAAGCAAAATCCTTTGCTTTTTGATAGAGAGAAGACCCAGTTTTCCAAATAATTAAAAGATCTAACAGAGAGCAGGGCCAGATCCAGTGGCCTGTGCCTGTAACCCCACATACTCAGGAGGCTGAGGTGGGAGGATCACTTGAGCTCAGAAGTTCAAGGCTGCAGTGGGCTATTATAGTTGAACCTGTGAATAGCCAATGCACTCCAGCCTGTGCTTTTTGTTGTTGTTGTTTGTTTGTTTGTTTTTGAGACAGAGTCTCGCTCTATCACCAGGCTGGAGTGCAGTGGCACGATCCTGGCTCACTGCAACTTCCATTTTCTGGTTTCAAGCAATTCTCCTGCCTCAGCCTCCCGAGTAGCTGGGACTATAGGTGCTCACCACCGTGACCGGCTAATTTTTTGTATTTTTAGTAGAGACAGTGTTTCACCATGTTGGCCAGGATGGTCTCGATCTCTTGACCTTGTGATCTGCCTGCCCTGGCCTCCCAAAGTGCTGAGATTACAGGTGTGAGCCACTGTGCCCGGCCAGCCTGGGCTTTTTTAATTAAAAAATGTAATCAGGCCAGGTACAATGGGTCACGCCTGTAATCCCAGCCTTTTGGGAGGCTGAGGCAGGCAGATCAGTTGAGATCAGGAGTTCCAGGCCAGTCTCGCCAGTATGGTGAAATCCGGTCTCTACCAAAAAATATGAAAATTAGCTGGGCATGGTGGTGCGCACCTGTAGTTCCAGCTACTCGGGAGGCTGAGGCGGGAGAATCGCTTGAACCCAGGAGGCAAAGGTTGCAGTGAGCCAAGATCACACCACTGCACTCCAGCCTGGGCAAGAGAGTGAGACCCTGTCTCAAAAAAAAAGAATTTTAAAAAATATTTTAGACAGCATGAGGCACAGAATCAGTTTCTCTCTCCTCTTTCTTTTGCAATTTACTCAAAAAGTGAACAAAATCTTTTACCATATTTTATTTTCTTTTATCTTTTTTTTTTTGAGACGGAGTTTCACTCTTGTTACCCAGGCTGGAGTGCAATGGCGCAATCTCGGCTCACCGCAACCTCCGCCTCCTGGGTTCAGGCAATTCTCCTGCCTTAACCTCCTGAGTAGCTGGGATTACAGGCATGCGCCACCAGGCCCAGCTAATGTTTTGTATTTTTAGTAGAGACGGGGTTTCACCATGTTGACCAGGATGGTCTCGATCTCTTGACCTCGTGATCCACCCGCCTCGGCCTCCCAAAGTGCTGGGATTACAGGCTTGAGCCACCGCGCCCAGCTTCTTTTATCTTTTGAGACAAGTTCTGGCTCTGTCACCCAGGCTGGAGTGCAATGGTGCAATCTCAGCTCACTGCAACTTCAGCCTCCCAGGCTTAAGCTATCCTCCCACCTCAGTCTCCAGACTGAGGACTAGAGTGCAGTGCGTGCTAGGACTACAGGTCTGAACCAACATGCCCAGCTAATCTTTGTATTTTTGGTAGAGTCAGGGTTTTGCTGTGTTGCCTAGACTGCTCTCGAACTCCTGGGCTCAAGCAATTTTTCTGCCTTGGCCTCCCAAAGTGCTAGGATAACAGGCGTGAGCCGCCATGACCGGCTTACTATCTTTTATTAATACTACCAGAAGACCAGGTGTGGTGGTTCACGCCTGTAATCCCAGCATTTTGGGAGGCTGAGGCAGGTGGATCATGAGGTCAGGAGTTCGAGACCAGCCTGGTCAACATGGTGAGACCCCTGTCTCTACTAAAAATACAAAAATTAGTCAGGTGTGGTGGCAGGTGTCTGTAATCCCAGCTACTCAGGAGGCTGAGGAGGAGAATCACTTGAACCTGGGAGATGGAAGTTGCAGTGAGCCAAGACCATGCCACTGCACTCAAGCCTGGGCAACAACGAAGTAAAACTCGATCTCAAAAAAAAAAAAGGCACTATCAGAAAATCATGTTCAAATGAGAGAATCAAATTTTACTTTTGTATCAGTGTATTACTAATACTAAAACAAATTTCAATAAAACCATATGGCCAGGCATGGTGGTTTACACCTATAATCCCAACACTCTGGGAGGCCAAGGTGGGAAGATCATTTGAGGCCAGGAGTGCAAGACCAGCCTGGGCAACACATGGAGCAAGACTCTATCTCTACAAAACAAAATGTTTTTAATTAGCCAGGCATGGTGGCACATACCTGTAGTCCTAGCCACTTGGGAGATTGACGCAAGAGTAATGCTTAAGCCCAGAAATTTGAGATTACAAATGAGCTATGACTATACAACAATACTCCACCCTAGGTCACAGATCAAGACTCTGTCTCTTAAAAAAAAATATGATGAATAAATATTAATAATAACCTTATAAACAAATAGATCCAGTCTCAGTCAGCTTTGACTACATAAGAATTCCATAAGCCTTTTATAACCTCCTTAGTTTTTACATTTTTTTCTCCAACTTTTATATCCATTTATTTTTGTATATAACATTTTTCCATACATTTATTATTATTATTATTTTTTGAGACGGAGTCTTGCTCTATCATCCAGGCTGAAGTGCAATGGCTCAATCTTGGCTCACTGCAACCTCTGCTTCTGGGGTTCAAGCAATTCTCCTGCTTCAGCCTCCCGAGTAGCTGGGACTACAGGCATGTGCCACCACACCCAACTAATTTTTTGTATTTTTAGTAGAGATGGAGTGCACCATGTTAGCCAGGACGGTCTCAATCTCCTGACCTCCTGATATACCTGCCTTGACCTCCCAAAGTGCTGGGATTACAGGTGTGAGCCCAGGTGTGAGCCACCATGCCCAGCTTGTGTGTGTGTGTGTGTGTGTGTGTGTGTATGTGTGTGTGACAGAGTCTCGCTCTGTGGCCCAGACTGGAGTACAGTGGTGGAACCTTGGCTCACTGCAACCTTTGCCTCCTGGGTTCAAGTGATACTCCTACCTCAGCTTCTTGAGTAGCTGGGACTCCAGGCACATACATACCATCATGCCCAGCTAATTTTTTTTTTTTTTTTGTATTTTTAATAGAGACAGGGTTTCACCATGTTGGCCAGGCTGGTCTTGAACTCCTGAGGTCAGGTGATTCCCCCCACCTCGGCCTCCCAAAGTGCCACATATTTATTTTAAAACAACCTTTACATAACCTTTAGTTAGCCGAATGTTTTTCTTTTTTTGTTGTTGTTGTTACTGTTTCAGCGGTTAGAAACAAAAATTTTTTAACAAAAGAATATATCCTCTGCTGGGTGCAGTGGCTCATGCCTATAATCCCAGCACTTTGGGAGGCCAAGGTGGGTGGATCACAAGGTCAAGAGATCGAGACCATCCTGGTCAATATGGTGAAACCCCGTCTCTACTAACAATACAAAAATTAGAGAAGCATGGTGGCGCATGCCTGTAGTCCCAGCTACTCGGAAGACTGAGGCAGGAGAATCGCTTAAACCCACAACGCGGAGGTTGCGGTGAGCCGAGATCACGCCATTGCACTCCAGCCTGGGAAACAAGAGCGAAACTCCGGCTCAAAAATAAATAAATAAATAAATAAATAAAAAGAATATATCCTCATAACTTAACTTTTCTTCACTAATAACATGTTGCTTTTACTGTACTCTGTATATAAAATCATTTCTTACTTTTAGTAGTTTTAATTACATATATTAATTTGAATTTTAACTCTTAGTAACTAGTTTCTAGTGAAAACCCAGGAAGTCAGTGATTTTGAATTGTTTTCTATCAGTGTTTGCAGACAAGAGCCATGTAATAATTTCTAAAAATACATTTTCTCAATTTGTTGTTGATCAATGGATCCAAATATGTTTAGCTGTCTATATCATATGAAGCAAGACATCAAAAATTAAAAAAAAACAGAACTTGAGAATAAGTGGAAAAAAGTGAAAAAAAAAAAAAAAAAAAGACATCAAAATATATAAACTTAAATTTATGTTTAATAATTAATGTTTCAGTATTTTCACTCACTAACTTAGAAATAACTCAAACATTTTACTTTTTTTTTTTTTTAGAGACGGGGTCTCACTATGTTGCCTGGGGCTCAAACAATCCTCCCATCTCAGCCTCCCAAAGTGCTGGAATTAGAGGCATGAGCCACTGTGTTCAGCCAACTCAAGACAATTTATAATTATCCGTTACCTAATTTAATATAACATGACTTTATGATTTTAAATTATTGAAAAGATTTTTGAAACTATGACAAGTTTATTTGTAGATGCTTATTCCATTCACACTTACCTAATTTACTTGTTGTTAACAACTGTATTTCATTTGCTTATGGAAAGCAAAACTAGCCATTTAAGTTACTTATTTATTTTCATTAAGCCCCTTCCATTTGAGAGAGTTATTTATTTTGAAAAAACAAAGCCACCGGGCATAGTGTCTCACACTGCCAATCTCAGCCCTTTGGGAGGCTGAGGCAGGAGGATCACTTCAGCCCAGGAGTTTGGGACCAGCTTGGGCAATATAATGAGATCCCCCATCTCTACAACAAATAAAAAATAATTAGTTGGGTGTGGTGGCATGTACCTAAAGTAGGAGCCCAAGGAGTTCAAGGCTGCAGCAAGCTATCATGGTGCCACAGCACTCCAGCCTGGGTAACAGAGTGAGACTGTCTTAAAAAAAATAAGAAGTGGCCAGGTACGATGGCTTACGCCTGTAATCCCAGCACTTTGGGAGGCCAAGGCAGGCAGATCACCTGAGGTCAGGAGTTTGAGACCAGCCTGACCAACATGGAGAAAACCTGTCTCTATTAAAAACACAAAATTAGCCAGGCATGCTGGTGCATGATTGTAATCCCAGATATTTGGGAGGTTGAGGCAGGAGAATCATTGAACCTGGGAGGCAGAGGTTGCAGTGAGCCAAGATTGTGTTACTGCACTCCAGCCTGGGCAACAAGAGTGAAACTCTGTCTCAAAAATAATAATAATAAAATAAAGTAAAAATAAAAAGCAGCCGGGCACAGTGGCTCATGCTGTAATTACAGCACTTTTGGAAGCTAAGGTGTG